ATACAAAAGTTTTCAAGAAACATTCCAAACCCTTTAATATTTTAATACAGTAATCTATGAGATTTACTTTATATATATATAACATAAAAAGAATAAGTTTGTAATACAGAAACGTTGTGTTTTATTGTTTAACATTATTGATTGGTGATTTTTTTACATTTTTGCCCCACCGATCACACAAAAATTCTCTCATTCATTCACGGATCGTCAATTAAAGATAATTTGAGATGTCTATCAAAGAATATAAACTTTTTTGAGACTGCAGGTCAAGAAGTCACATGAATTTTGTTTGAAGTGAATTTAGTAATTCATAAAACATCTATTTAACTTGATTCAATGAGACCTAATTCTCGAAGGTGCTTTGGGATAACTATGGGTCTTCATAATACCAAAACATCCAACTTTTTTTACAATTCTTTTTGAATTTGCTACAATTAATGCCGATCATTGCGGTATAATCGTGTAGTTATCCGCAAATTTAGTGAAACCTCTGAATATCTGCAAAAATTATGTGATTAAATAGAATATTAATATTTATTATCACAAAAAAAAATATCCAAAAATTATAAATATTCTAATTCATAAAACAATTTCAGAAAAGATATCTGAATTAGTAGTTCATAAATCAATTCATATATATTGTTTAAATGTATAGCTTGCTTAATATTAATATAATGTTTGAATTAATAAAAAATAAATATATATCATTAATTGACAAAAATAGACAGGTTTATTATAGTAAGTTATGTTCATAACTAATCTTTTAGAAATCATTGGCTTAAAGGATTGGGGGTGTCACAATCTAATTAAATCAAAATTAAGGGTGGAGTGATCACCATATCAAAAATCAGTTATACAAAATGACTAAAACAATTTTATGTTACACGATTTTATTTTGCAATTTAATAAAGTTATTTATAACAGATAACAAAGTGTTTAAATACTTCATGACTGTTAGTATTAGTATAAAGGACATATTAGAGCTTCAACTCCTGTAGTATGTAAACTTGAACTAACATAACTGCTCAAAATTTTGAAATAAGTGTCAAAAAATTATAAAAAAAATAGTAACTACTCTCTATAACAGATCTTTCTATGATGATGATAATGATGATGATGATGATAATAATAATAACAGAGGATCTTGCTCTATAACGGACTGAGAATTAAGCCCAATTTATATGTCCCATATATTGCTAATGGACATTTTTTCATAAACCAAATGGTCCATTATAGAGAGTGAACTATATATTTTTACTATACTACAACGAAATACAGTCCCTGGCGAAAGTAATGGTGGTGATAATTTTTTTAAAAACTAAAAATTTTTAATAAGCAACTATTAATAAAATTTTATTTTTAAAACACCTCTAAGTAAAACATTATGCTTTTAAAAGCTTATAGTATAAACCATTTTCCTCCTTTCTCAATCCCGGTTTGAATCTAATTTGAGCATTAAAAAAAATCGGAACTTTGGCTTTTTTAAGAATTTTTTAAATTTCATTTCTCTATAAAACTTTTTTTTTATTAAGTAAATGAATCTTTATACATTAAATAAAATTATTAGAAATGAAAAATTCCACATATCCTAAAAATTTTATGAAGTTTGGATAAAAATTTTTAATATGTTTTTATATTTTACGCTTTTACGAAAAAGAAAAATCAAATTTTTTTATACAAATGTAAAGTGCAAGAACACATCAAAAAATTTTCTCTAAACTTCATAAAAGATTTAGGATATGTAGAATTTTTCATTGTGAACAACTTTATTTAATATAAAAGATCGATTTACTTAATAAAAACTTAGTAAAAATAATGTTTCATTGTACCACCATTACTTTCGCCAGGGACTGTACACTATTTCCCATCATTACACTCTTCATTTGCTTTACTTGGTTGTAATTCTATTAAAAAAATAAGTAATTATGAGTATTGTGAATATTTAATCATAATATTAATAAAAACATATATCATTTGTGTTTTTTACCCACTCATTTGCAAGAGTTATTATTTTTTAAAGGTATTTTCTCAGTAACCTACAAAATACATGTTGGTTTTTTTGGTACTGAAATGAAGAGAAAACCTTGAAATATATATTTATAAATCTTATTTGTAGTTTTTTTATTTTATTAACCTTCAAAGTGAAATAAAACGTGATGTTACTCTCAAAAATTATTTTGATCATTTCTTATTAAATAAAAATATATGGTCGATCACTCCACCCTTAATGATTGGCAAAGTCCAATTTTTGTAGAAAAACATGGCAATTACGGGATTTTTTATTTATATATCAATTAAAGTTTGAAATTATTTGTTTATTTATATAAATAACCTTTGGATAGAGATTTCGATCGAATAATTCCTTTGGTTAGTCTGTTTTTCTTAATTTTAACAATTAATATTCGACCAATAAAAATGGTATAAATCACATGATATATTAGTACAATTTGTTTAATTATTCTATAATTTCTAGTAATAATATAGGTTACAGAGAAAAGTTATGATGACCAAAAGTGTGCTGTAATAGATTGATGAGGGTATAGATATTCTATTACCATCATTCAATGAATTTTGGAATCCGCTAGTACACGTACCTAAAAATGTTCGAAATTTTAATTTAAATGGTAATAATAATAATATTATTATTATTATTAAAAATATAAATACAATACTTACATTTCCCCCCATTTTCACATGTTGCAGTATAATCTTTGAAAGCACAATTTACATCACGACAAGTTTTTGTGAATTTATCACATTCAGCCTGTCCCAATGTTGTATTTTGAGTTGGTGATGGAGCAAGACTAGTAGTAAGAATTACAGGTGATGATGTCGTTGTGGGGATTGATTGAGGTGAAATTGATTTTGGAGTCACCGGAACTGTTTCTGTACAATAGGGTTTAAATTAATCCATAAAATTATCTTTAATAAACAAAAAATTATATCTAACGATTATCACATTTATATTGTTATTATTATTGTATACATACGTTGAGTTGATGATTGTTGAATTGTTTGAGATGTTGTTGGTTGTAATTGAGATTGACTTTCAGTGGATTCGGTTTGTTTAGAGGAAGAAGATGGTGGTGATGATGTTGTTGGTGGTGGTGTTGTTGTGGTAAAAATAATAAATTTTCTTAGGTTTCACGAAAGGTCTGAGACAACGTAATCATCGTCATCAACTTTTCCCTTGTTATATCGACTAAGTATAAAAAAAAAACTTTATAAATAAATAAATGGTTTCTAACATCATTACAGTCAGTAATTTTTCTCTGGCACTTACTTATTTAATGCCGCAGACTTGGATGTTTTTTTGTTATTTTTTTAATGATCTTGCACCTGTTTTAAATAGATATTGTCTCTCGTACGGAAAATAAAAAAAGATATCTTCATATATTTTTTCGTCGATAATTTTTTTATATGGTTCTATTTTTTCATCGAAATCATTTATAGAGATTTCATGAAATCTGATGAGTGGAATAATATCTTCCAACAACATTTTCAATTTTTTAAAATCATTATCAGCCCACTCGGAAAATTTTTTTTCTGATGCTTCTTCATCTTGTCCTATTCCCCATTGAATGACATAACTCCAAATATTAATTTCCTCTAATGTCAAATCATCTCTTTTCAATATCGATACAAGCATCGACTTTTCGAGTATTGCAATATCATTAGACTTCAAAAAATATTCTGGTTCTTCTTTAATCAGTTTATTACAAAGGCCTTGAAGCAAACCGAGCAATTGGCGTTTTGATGAAATTTCATGAACACGGTTTAAATTTCGGTGAAGCCATTCATTTTTCCTTTTGATTAGATGGTTTTGCAAATAACCAAGTAATTCATGTATGAGTAATTCGTCGCATGCTACGAGAAGATCGATGATGACTTCCACCTCCGTTTCTAATCCGTCAATCATTGTATAGTCGGAGAAATAGCTATTGAAGTGTCGTCAATATGGCGTGAGTATTGATATTAATAAATATTGATTTATCAACAGATAATAATAAAACTAATTCTTACACTAAAAGAAGTGCAAATATATCTGGGGAAATGTTTTTTTTTTCGAATAAAATAGTTCCATCTTCAGATCTTTTTGCCCAATTTTCCGATAAAGCTACATTAAAATATAGAGATCTTGCTTTTAAAATTCTAGACTGAGCTTTGAAGGTTTCAATTTCTTCTTCATCTCCCACCATAATTTCTACGTCAGCCTCCTCGTCAATCAATGGTCTAATATGCCATCTTAATTTTAAAATGTGATTTCGAACACTAGTTTTATTATAACTGTTAAAAGCATTCTCTGCGTCATGTCTATTTTCGAACTCTACGAAGGCGATTCTAAGATCAACCAAATAAATGTTTATGAATATTACTATTATTAATTTTTTGACTTGGAAAGTTTTTTTTTGATAATTACCTTCCTCTATTATTATTATTATCATTATTATTGACAACATCCACACTTCTCAAATGCCCATATTTTTTAAACATATTATTCACATCATCTCGAAAAAATGAAGGTGGCATATTTCTAACACAAATAGTTGTAGTAGATGATGTAGATGATTCATAATATCTATCTTCGTCTGACAATAGACTTCTTTTCCTTTTACCCTTACCATTTCTTCTAGATGATAATTTACTATCGATAACAAAAAATAATTAAGATAAATAACAGATAATAAATAGTAATTAGAAGGTAGAATAGAAGAAGCTAACCTTCTGCCCATAATAACAATTTTTATCAAGGAAAAATTATATGCAAAAGAAACCTTAACCAATCCAATTAACAATTAGCTAACGAAGTTTGGGAATTAAATTAATCTTCACCCCAAGAAAATAAAAAAAGCAAAGTGAGATTTTATGAAATGAGCTAACATTTGCTAATATTAAATATTTAAATATTAATGGGATAAAATTTTATAAATGCACACTAATAAATCGAGAAGTTCCGGATGAGATAATTACACAATTTGGTGCATCAAAATATTGTTCTAGTGGCGTACATGCAGCAATCAATAAATTAATTTTTACGACTGGTGAATTACATACACTAATTTATTATGAACATTTCGAATTGATTATTATTTAATTTAAATCAATTCCAAAACGTTCGTTGCAGAGTATAGTTCGTGTTTGCATGCCTTTGGGTAAGCGTGCGATTATGGAATGTATTTTAAGCATCTTTCTCAAAAAAAGACCTTGAGTTCTTGAAGAATGTGATGCAATGAGAATTCATGATGACTTGAGCGACAGGATTGTGAACTTTTAAAATTGAATTTGGGTTCTTTTTTATGAAAGACCTAGACTATTGATACGGTGCCAATGATAACCTTTATAATTTTATGTACAAAAAGAATATATTTACTTGGACTTGGTACAGTTGACCTAATTGTTATTGTAATTAAAGGTTACGAATAAAATCATCTTAACTGTTAAAATCACCTAATAGCTTAGTTGCAGAATTTTTTTGTTGGAACTAGTGTAATAGCACAGGGTAGATTTCGACAGTGCAGAAAGCTCTATATATAATAATAGTAGGATTTTAAATATCATGTGATCCATTCATCAAAAGTTTATAAAAATACCACCACCAAACTTGGCTTTAAAAGAGAATTGTCACAATTTTTACTTTGCTGATTTTTCTTAATTTATAATTTTTTAAAGGTAATTATTTTTTTACTGAAAAAAATAATTTCACCCAAATTGTTTTTATATATATACTGTATTTCATATATATTTTTAAAAAAATGCTGTTACACGAAAACACATTCTTCCGGAAATTTCTAATAGAGGTCGCAAAAAAAAAAGTCCATGATATAAAATGGTAAATTTTAATAGTGTTAAAAAAAAAAAATGTTACTTGTATAAAAATCATGAAAATTGATTGGGACCTCAATATCACTTAGGAGTTTATGGGGTCCTTTTCAATCCCTTAAACAGTATTAGTATTGCACGAGTAAAAAAATATATATTCTGTACCTTCTGAACGCTTATTCTCCGGTGTGGGAAATCATACAACATCACGAAGAAATAAATTATCTCATGATGTTATTCTAAAGTGTTATTTTTGTAAAGAAATTCAAATAATATTTCCGTTTTTAATAATTAAAAAAATTTTTATTTTTTTTACGAATAAGTATTTTTCTATGGATTTATGAATTTCATGAATTCGGATTTCGTTCTCATTAATGGATTATATATGCATGTTGTAAATTGATTAAATTGATTGGCAATAAATTATTTTATATATGAAATAACCAGTGAATTCAATGAGGCCACAACTACTATTGTAGAGTTTACTTTTTATATTAAATTAATCTTGAAGTTAATAATAATCTTATTTTGTTTACACATGACACGAATTATCCACTCGTTCTTGTGATCTTTGATGAATTGTTCCAAGTCTTTTTCTTGTTGCTCATTGCAATTTCATGTAAAAATTGTTGGAACTAGACTAGTCACATCGTAGAAATTTCTATAATACCCCAAATTTAAGAATTAAAAATTTTAATTCGCTGTTTTATAACATGATCACTTCTTTTTTAATATTAATATTTTTATCTCGATTTCCCGGATTGTATTTTTGGAGAAATACATATCATGTATTTATCACTTATTATTATTACTACTATTACGATTAGATTTATCCTGGGACGTGGTCATCTATTACTATATAAAATATTACGAAAATTTGAAAACTTGCAATTTCTTTGTTGTGTTTTGTTGCAGTATGCCCCATATATTAATATACATTATTATACTGTATGTAAATCTAAAAACCAATGCACAGAAGGATGTCCGTTTTGCATTATGTATATATTGAAATATAGTTACTTTCAAAACACGTAATACATATTAAAATTATTGTGTCGATCAAGATAAGTTTATTTCGCGTTTTTTATAAAAAAAAAACAAGTTATTCAGACATGTCATTAAATAAAAATGCAAAAATACCAAAAAAGTTTGGCTCTAAGGCAGAAAACGTTTCTAAGAGAACAGTGCAGGTTTAAGAAAAATTCAGTTATATATACATATATTTAATAAGAAAAAATTTGTAAATTTTTTATAGATCTTTCAATAACATATTATTAATCTTTTAATTTGCATAGTCTCATCAAGAAAATAATAGAAAAAAACCAAAAATATTTGGTGAAAATTTTTTTTATTAGTTTGTTAATATAAATTTATAAAGCTATTTATTAAATAATCAATATGCACCCATATTTAGATCTTAAACCATTTGAAGAGGAAGATCATGGGTTTGTATTTGTCAGAAAACGAAAGCTTGACGAGTTTGTCAATAAACAATCCCAAACTCAACTTTCCGAGGTATATAGTATCAATTATATAATTAGATACAGAGACAATCCTATTCTTTTTTTTGCATCACAAATAAATAACAAAACTTTTAATGGTCATTTATTTACGTATATATATCTACTTATATATAAATTATCGTAGAAAAATCATAATGTGGAAACACAATCAAAAGTGTCAAAGTATAACTATGGACATTTTACCCAAGGTGAAAACTCAAATTCATCCAATCAATCACATGAAATTCAAACTTTTAAGGTAAAATAAAAAGATTATCAAATGTTAATTAATTCACAAATAATTTATTATCATTATTATTATCATTATTATAGTCAAAATCACACTTTGAAAGGCAGCAAATTATGGATTTAGAAGAAGAAAATGAAGAAAATTCTAGTGTGGAAGATAGTATCAACAGTTCACCTGTAAATATGGAGCACACAGTTACTTTTACACTACCATATGAATCTTTGGAGTTTGTTAGACCTAGAGATTCCCTAGAAAAAAATCGAAGAACAAGCGAAAAAAGAGGGAAGAGGAGAGCATCTTCTGTTAGAGATGGATTTTTAGGTTGGAATAATTATAATTAGGATTAATTTATTATTTATTAATTTATTTAATATATTGGCTAATATATATTTAATGAATAGTGGAACCTCATCCTGATATAAAGACTGAAGATTTCTATCGTCATATTCAACCTGAATTGCCTAATCCAGTAAGATTGAAACAGCTTTTAATGTGGTGCGCACAAAGAACTCTTGGAACTCAAAAACATGAAAATGAAAAGGTTTTAAACATAGGTATTGTTTTTTTAATATATCCGATTTGTAAATTATTAAAAGGTTGTTTGTTATACATTTCTAATTAGATTTTTATCTCTTTTTTTAAAAAAAAATAATAATAAATCAGTAAAGAAAGTTCAAAAAGATGTAATAAGAGATTTGTCTGAAAACATAATTAGTACATCTTGGTATCAAAATGCATGTATTAAAACCTTGCTTATTTTTTTTCAAATTTAATTTGTAATCTTTCAATTCTTTATTAATCTGTTTTTCATAATGTATGCAGAGTGAATGTGTTGGCAATGATGATGTTGTACCAAAAAAATTACATCCAGAAAATGAAAAAAATAAAACAAAATTAGAGGCGTTAAAAAAAACATTAGAAAGGTAATTTAGAAAAATTTTTATTTGTAATGATTTAAATTATCTATACGCCATTGCTGCTCAACTCAAATAAATTATTTTTTTTATAAAAATTAATCAATTAATTATTGTTGAAGGTTGAATAAGGAAGAAGCAGAATGGGATAGATTAGTTTCAGAATTGAATTCTCTTTATGATTCAGTTTCAAACTCCGATCAGAACCCTTCAGATTACAACAATGTAATGCTTGATGAAATAGACTTTACTATATTACCAGAACAGCAATTAAAATTTTTAAAAGATGATGATCCAAGTGAGAAAAAACAATTGGAGTTTTTGGAGGAAATGTCTAAATCATTGGAGATTAATGTATTTATTAATAAATTTTTAAAAATAAACAAAGATTTATTTATTTTGAGTGATTTGCAATTTATTTTTAATTTGTTTAATTGTTTAGGTGGATCGATTTTACCATATTTTATATAATTTATCACAATTTAATACAGCAGCTGGAATATATTGTAAAGATTTACTAAAAAAACTTGGAGAAATTTCTAATAAAAGTGTTGAAGAACATATAGATTTATTAAGGGCAATATCAATTATTAATAAATAAAGTTAGTAGATAATAATTTTTGTAATTTTCAAGTCTATCACACACTTCAGAAATGTGAGTGAAATAATTGGTGGCAATAAATTAAATTGTTATTTCGAAAGTACATGAATTTCAGAGTTCTTTATATATATTGAATAATTAGCAGTGATTTATCTGTAAAAAGTAGGAAAACCTATAATATCGATATTAATGTTATTGATGAATACTGATTTTATCCAGGAATCGCATACAAAAAAGAATGAAGCTATTACTATATAGCATGATAAAAACATGTTCGTGTCACAACAAATAATACAGTCAGTCAACCCACCCTGGGACCAGGCAAGACCGTGCATTTATAGAAAGTATTTTATTGGTTGCACGTGACACTAATAAAAAATATCTTTAAATTACATTGTTATTTAAGTTCTAAAATAGTTTTCCGAATATATATAGTTATTGAGTCTTAGCATTTTAAAGATTTGCTGTATTTGATGCCTTTTAGATGATCTGCATCATAATCATGAGTAACCCTATATCCCCAAATTCTAGCTAGACTTATGAATCTATCGAGACCACTCTTTTAGAGACAAATCTAAAAATCATGTGACTGTGGGACAAATTTGTCTCTCACTCTTGCCAATGGGTCATAATTTGTATCCCAAGGATAGAAGAATTTGAAAGTCTTGATTTCTATACATAAAATATGCCTTCCAAAACAAACCTAAGAATAATATACACATAACTTGTAGGAATTACACTACGAATCCTAAGCAGCACTTGCAATATCAAAACTGGAATAATTATAAAGCATATCATCGACAAAGATCATATAATTTATAATAAATAGGAACTTACATGATATGAAGGCTGTATTTGATTATGAAGAGATATATAAATATTTAAAGGCAAATAAACTCAAATTATCATATTTCAAAAAAGTGGGATAGTAATTACTACTCACAGAAACTTTATTAACCAAAACATGTCATGTAATTTGGTGACATAAACTTATTAACAAACAAAAATACACTTGACCACTTGAAGTGAACTATCCAATAGATACTGTGGTTGTAGATTCAGTGTTTTGTCATTCAAAGCCATACCAAAATTGTATTTTAGAAGAAAACAGTTATCTGATGTTTCTTGGGACCTTTTCTTTTGTTCATAATATGTTTCTTCCCTAAGTGGTGATGATACTGTGGAGCTTTTCTCAATGTGGTATGTTTTGCTTGTGGTACTTGCATCAAGAGGGATACAGAATATCCAACAACTCTATGAGTTGAGGATGTTCTGTTTGTTGCAAAGGAATTTGAACTTTTTCAGGTGAGATGACAATTGCCACACTTTAGCCAGATATATTAATATTGCGAGTGTGCAATCCGAGTTCCTATTTAATAGGTTATTTATAGCTCAACACACAGTCTACTCACTGACTTACGGTTGTTCCTATTGTTTGACACACAGCCTACTCGCTGACTTACGGTCAATAATTAATAAAAAGATGACTTTTATCTTTTCAGATAAAAGGGTCCCTAGGTTCTATATATGTAATTATATCCCAAAGGCGTCCCCTTGAGATGTTTCTCACTGATTAGAATGTTGGTTACTTATTAAGTACAGCAAAGGTTTACCCTTTGTAGTTTATTAATTATTTAGAGATTATTTTCAGGGTAAAATATGTTATGTGTTTTATTAGTGATAATAAGATTATTATTACAGTGTATTAGGAAGTATTAATTATCAGATCAATAATTAAAAGATTTTTATGAACATGATTATTCTGACTTGGTCTAAAACCAAGTCCTTTTATACCTCTTGGGGTATTACAAATAACATGACTTTTACTCTAGTTTGTCCAATAAACTATGCTTATTAATAAAATAAATATTTGGGTCAACTGAGCATTACAAATAATAATTAATAATTTAAAAGTAAATATTTACATCAGCTGAACAATTTCTTAAAATATAAATATAGAAATATGAATATGAGTAATTGTACGTGTGATACTGCGCAATGTATGGCGCAGTATTTTCACAAAATATAATAAAAATAGAAATGATATCATTTTCACGTGACTTCCGCAGTAGTTTGTTTTGGTTAGATCGGCAACGTGGGACCTCTCTATCGGTCCTTATTTTACTACTCACACTATCATTAAACAATTCCTTATACTAAACAATATCTTAGATTTTGCACTATGTATCCTGATCACATTTCTTAGTGGATGCCCTTCTAGCTGTTTTCCTCTTTACTACCAAGTCAGGTACATATCCAAAAACTATTAAATAAAATTCATTAATATTACCTCACTAAAAAAAAAGAAATAAAAATAATAAAGATAATAGATAAATATAAAATAAGAGAAAATTTATTATGCTTGGGATTAATGTGAATTCATTGTTAGAGATAGATTTATTATTATTACAAAAATATAAATTTGAAGACTACAACAAGGTTGTGGACAGTGTTATTTATTAAATTATTATGATGATGATTTATGATGATGAAAATGATACATGAAGTTGAGAAAGTTACAATGTTATTTATATATGTTAAAGGTTCTATCATCTAGTTCTCCAATTTCTTTGAAATCTTAATTTATCCTAATTAAATGTATTACTTGAACCTTCTATTATTTTCAAGTTATTTCTAGTGATTATTAAATTCCTTTGATTAAGTTTAACCTGAGAATTAAAGGTCTGTTTTATCAAAATTAATTTGGGTTTGACTCAATTCCTAAAATCTCAATTTTTAATTGCATCTGACTCAATTATTTATACAGTTGCACCTGTCTATTTGCATACAGTATATTTGCATAATCTGTTCATTTACATAAAGGTAGCTCAGTTCCATATCAGGACCTATGAAATATTTGCATAATGTAAACATGCATATGCATCCTGTTTCTACTAGGTCCCACTAATGTAAATGGGGTATGGACAATAGTGTTGTGTATATATGAGGTTTCTGGGACAGAAAGCGCTATTTGGTTCTCCAGACACCTGTTTCATACTTTTTTTGATAGCATTAATTTTTATAGCTTGCATATCCACAAGGACATGTAGGTCTTGATTTCATATCAATTTACTGTGTGTTGTAACTCCAAGAAAAAAAAAAATTTTTTGTCAAAGTAGTTAATGGGTCTGGGACACTTTATTGACACCCACTTTACTGACAAGACACTTTACCAACAACACATGGGGTTACATTTAATCTCTACACAATCAAACAAACTAATAAAATGCTAAAATATCATGTTGTGTGTTGTCAGTAAAGTGGGTGTCAGTAAAGTGTCCAGGTCTGGTAGTTAACAGGAGAGTGAGTGAAATGAGCAAGATGTACATAGCACATCTATAACAAAACTAGAAAAAATAATAGTTAACAGGAGAGAGCATGATGGAAGTTTGATTTCATTGGCTAAATTTGTGATGATCCTCCTTCAAGATATCACATAAAAATTAATTTTTATTGGCTTGAAGATCATTGCACAATTTGAAATTTCGTGGATTCGGGTTTGACCTCAGGCGAATACTAAAATTATATTTACAGGCAAAAACCAAAATTATTGTTAAAAATTCCACATTTAATAAAAAAATTCTATCCCTTAAACTGTAGCACAAATTTTATGAAAATGTGATAAATTCAATACTGGAAAATCACTTATTATTACAAACAATAAAATTTTTTGAATTTTTCGTAGTTATTTACATATTATTTAAGTTCATAACATTAATTATTCAATACAACTTTTGTTAATTATTTTTATTGGTAAAAATTTATATTCTAATAATAAGTATTTTTTTAGAAAATTTCACGAAAAATAAAAAGAAAACTTCACTCCTTGTGGAAATTGTTATAGAAAAAAATGACACTATTAAATCTTATACCATTTTTATTCCTCAGAACTTGAAGTTTAAATTTATTAAAGTTAATGTAAAGATATAATTAGTAAAATCTTCACCTTGTATGTATTAAATTTTTCGGAATGTAAAAAATTTTTATTCTTGATAAATAAAATTAATTAATCCTCATTTAAATTGATATTTTGTTCTTCATGATAAATTTTAAAACAGTTTCTATTATTATTACAACACAATGGAACATCACATAATGTACACCAAATATTAGAGAAAGAAGGTCTTTTATCTTTACCTATTAATAAATACCTACACAATACACATGAGTTTCTTTTATCACTTCTCCATTCTACAAAATGGTTACCAATCATCAATCTTTCAGCAGGAAGTTGATATTTAGGTGTTATGTATATTAATTTTTTGTCTGGAAAGGAGGAAGAGGAAGTAGGAGTAGCTTGTTGATTATTCCGTGTTGTCATTCCTAAATACATTTTTTCTTTCAAAGCATCTTCTATCAATGTCCATAATAATTGTAATCTAAAGACTTTGTGAGGTAAATTATTTCTTAATATGTTACTTCTTTTATAAATCAAATAAGAATTAACTATTGCTGTGTCAAGCAACCAAAAAAACAAAGGAACCCAAGTACGTCGAGCTGTTAATTGAGTTGAATAATAGCTTCTTAATTGATCAGCTAAATCAACTCCATTCATTTTATAATTATAATCATCAACTACACTAGGAATATCTATAAGTTTTTTTGGTTGGTTGCCAAAAACTTCAGTTATAGCTTCTCGATTTGTGTTAGTAATCCTTGGGCAGCGACGAACCTTTGCAACTTTAGAGTTTGGTCCAGTAATTTTATGAATTGTGGTTAGCATGGTTACAGGGCCATTATCTATCCACAAAAGAACTAAAACTTCATCAACTACAACACCTGAAAGTGTATTCCATTTTATACCACCTTTCTCCTTTAGCTTTAATTCACTGGGAAATTTAGCAGAATTTTTACGAACTGTTCCACATGCACCAATTCCTTTATCTCTTAAATATTTAAATAAACTAATACTTGAAAAGAAGTTATCCATGTATACACTAAAGGATCTATTAGTTGGTAATTTATTTATTAAATGAAAAACTTCGGATCCAGTTTTAGTCAATCCTGGAATTTTTTCTATATTTGAATTTTCTTTAATTCGGGAAGAAAATATGAATGTAAAAGTGTAGCCAGCATCACACAATGATAAAATTTTAAACCCTTCAGGAGTTAATTTATTTTTTATTCTAAAAGTATGAGCACTTCTTCCTGAGAACATTGCAATCATTTCATTAATAGAAACATCTGATGCTGGTATATAAATAGATTCAGAAACTTTCCTAATATGTGTAGACAAGGGTTCAATTTTTGAAAATAAGGTAGATTGATTTTGTGTATCATTAGGGTCTGAAATATGGAAGAATCTTTTAATCTGATAAAATATTTTTTTTAATAATCAAGTTAGTTTAGTTTAGTGATATATTAAATGTACATAATGCCACATGCTTGTTGAAATCTAATTAGAGTCATATTGAGTTATTTTATGTTTAGGAACTTTATCATCTGTGTTCCAATAATCTGAGACAGATGGAAATTTAAAAAGACCCATATATATTAATATTCCTAACCAAATTTTCAATTCAGGAACAGTCAATGGATACCAATCTCTTCCTGTTCCAGCATCTTTATCAATTGCATACAAATTAGTATTTATGACAAGTTGATTAAAGATTTCATTTGTGAAAAAAAGCATAAAAATTGAAATTGGATTCAATTCTGTTAATAAATTTAATTCATGAGGCAATTTTACAATTGCATTGTGTAAATTGTATCTATGCACTAATGGTATAAATTCTGGAGGAGGTGGATATTAGAGTCATTATCATCAATTTGGGCTTTTTTCTTTTTTTTTTTTTTTGTATTGCTTCTACTACTTGTAGATTCTTCGGTACTATTTTCTTCTCTTATATCATCACTGATTTCAATAATATCAGTTGAAGCAAAGGTGTCAATATTCTCATTAACATTAGTTACTTCAGAATCCTCAAATTCTTCATGTTCATTCTGTTTCAAAAAAAAATTGAATTCATCCTCATCCTCTGCATCTATAAAACCTTCATATTCATAAATATTAATATTAGAAGAGTCCATTTTTTAATTAAGTTTAAATAAATAAAAAATTTTATTGCAGTGTTAAAAAAAAAATTAATACAAAATGATTGGCAAAGTAAATTTTTTTTGTACCTTTACTTTGCACGATCATTTATCACCAAGAACAATATGTAACACTTTGTTTTTTCTTTAATGGGTTAATAATACAATCTCAAAAATCATTTTTTAATTAGGAAATTATGTGTAAAAACTGCATGATAAAAATCTTTGTGTCTTACAACAAATCTGCAGCATATATGCTGCAGAAACAGTTTAAGGGATAAAAGAGAAAGAAATTCTGTAAAATTTCAAAATTTAAATTATAAAATAAATTTAAATCAAATAAAAATTCTAAATAATAACAATGCCTAAAAATGCTCAAAATAAAGGTCCTTGCACAATAATTGATTGTCAGAGTATTATTGATACTAATAGATTTAGAACAATTACTGATACTGCATTGGAAAAGTTGCAAGAACATCCAGATTATACAAATTTTAATTATTTAAAGCTTAATGATCAACTTTGCCATCCTCATTATATGAAATATGTTGAATCAACAAAACATAGAAGATTAAACTTAAAAGATTCTAATAAAGATAGCATTGAAAAAAAAAAGCAAATGATAATTTTTTTGTAGAAGATATTAAAATTATCAAAATTACTGAAAATGGTGTTCTCTTATCTGAGGAAGATTTTAAATTATTAGTTCAAAAAATTGATGATATGGAATTTACAATTGAAAAAAACCAAAATGAAATTGAACATCTACTTGAGTCAAGTGATGTTTATTTAACAGTTCAAAATAACTTAAGAAAAAGTAGGTTAAAAATTTTTTTAAATAAATTTTAATTTATGTATAAATACTCACAATTAAATTTTAATTATAGATGAATTGTCCTTTTCAAATAAAATTGAATTATTGACCAAAGTACTCTATGATAATCAATGTAAACACCATGCAGAAATTGAATTAGATCCAATAAAATTTTGTCAATTAATTGAAGAAAATGAACCAAAATTAAAAGGATTTTTGATGAAATGATAAATATCATTCCTGATAATCGTACCTTTTCAAATAAAGAATCTGCTAAAAAAGCAATAGTTGGATATTGTTACCTTTTAGCAGGTTTAAGAAATAAATTTGTAAATAATTTTAAGCTGGATCTTGGCCTTTATTTATCTGAAAATGGCACAAGTGCTGCTGCTATTGACACATTGTCAAATGCAGGTATGTCTGCATCATATAAAACTATTGATAATTATAAAAAAAAAATAAAAGCAAACCACCCTGAAGAAATTAGAAAATATTTCACCAATAATGTAAGTTAATTCAAGGTTCAAGTAATAATTATTGAATTAAATTAATTTTAATTTTTTTATTTTTAGTGTCAGTATATGCACTGTTTTAATATTGATGATTATCATTCAATTCATGAATGGAGAAGGCCTGATTCCATTTCATTATCTTCAGCAACACATATGGCAACATGTGTTTCTAAAAAAAATTGAAAATGTTTTAGCCATTCCTGCTAATTACAACAACATACCACTTTTTAATCCAAATAACATTGAGTCATCATCAATCATTTCCAGACTAACCAATGATTATAAAGGTCACTTTGATCTAAGTTATAATTATATTAAAAAGGAATGGATCCAAAATGAAATGATAAATGAAAATAATTTCAACCAATTGGAGGCTTTATCAGTGCACCTATATGGTGCAAATATTGAGGAAAAAAAAGAGGAAAGATCAATGAAAACAGTTAGAATTTTAGATATAAAAGAACAAAATCTTCGTTCTCTAAATGATTACCTCTCTGCAATTAAAATGATTACAAGTATCAGTTCATTGACAGAATATATTAAATTGAATGCTATACTGTGAGCGTGTAAATTCAATTACAGCTTGGGTTGTGTCCAATAAAAATATAAGATAAAATAAATAAAAAGTCCAATATATAAATCTCCCTATCTTCGCACACAGCTAAGGGTTCTCAAATTCCCAGGCCTCCATCTTCGCACACAGCTAGGAGCCTTCCCAAAATATTCTATTGCACAATTCTCTCTCTACAGTACTAATATGAAGTACTGCTGGCCTAAAAATGATAAATAAAATAAAAAGAATATATACAAGAAATATTTACAACTATACCACTTGA